TATATATATATATATATATATATATGTAGTTTATGTGCATATAGCAGAGTGGGAAAATTATTATGCGATCGATGTTTGTCCTTTCTTTCTTTCATAAATTTGTTGTCAAATATCATGATTTGTTTCTTTGAGCGCCAAGGGGTTAGTATTTTGGAAAGGGTAAGAGTACCAATTTGAGTGTTTTATCTTAATAGAACTTGGGTATGTATGATAACACAAAATTCTAATGAACGACATGGCTAAACATTTCACCAACACTATTGGGAACCACACATCTTCTTTTTCCTACCTTTATTTGTATTCTTAGTAAGAAGTAGAGATGACTATTGTATGGGCTGTAGGTACAACAAACAAGGCGAAGTTGGCCTGTGTTGCCGCTGCTGTTAACAAGTGTTTTCCAGACGAAGAGCATGACGTAAGACCAGTTTCAGTGGCATCTATAGTTCGTGCACAGCCTATGTCTGCTGAAGAGTCTCAAATAGGCGCTAAACATCGTGCTGAGGAGGCTTTGCGTCTCATTTCTGATGCCCACTACGGTATTGGAATTGAAGGAGGTGTGGAAAAGATTGCCGATCGTTGGTTTGAATGTGGCTGGATGCATGTAGTGGAGCGCTCTAGTGGTCGTTGTGGATTGGGTTCCTCTGCACGGTTTGAAATGAGTCAAAAACTTATGTCTGGTATAATTAACGAGGGTAAGGAGTTAGCAGAGGTTATGGATGAACTTACTGGTCAAACAGACGTAAGATCTGGACAAGGGGCGATGGGTATACTTACAGTGGGTCACCTGGGTCGTGCTGAGTCCTACTCACATGGTTTAATATTTGCACTAGCCCCGTTCTTATCTAATCGTAAGTACTGGGATTAATGAACTTTTTGTTATTCTCTAGAAGTAGTGTAGAGTGCACTGATACACAAAATTGTGAACATATCTTGTTTCTTTTCTTTCTTTCCTTCTTTCATTACCTTGACTACTTTTTGCTTTTTTTTTTTGCTCTTTTGCTCTTTTACTCTTTTACCTTAGGTATAAAGGAAGATTCAATGTTTACGCTAATAGGCGTGGGACTCGGTGATGCCAGTGATATTACACTGAAAGGTCTAAATGCAGTCCAGGAAGCTGATATTGTTTATCTGGAAGCTTACACCTCATTTCTAATAAACTCTTCTTCTGAAGAACTCTCTAAAGTGTACAAGAAACCAGTGTTAGTAGCTGACCGGGAGATGGTAGAGAGTGGAGAGGTTCTGCAAGATGCGTCAAACAAGAAGGTCGTTCTGCTAGTTGTTGGTGACGTCTTTGGGGCTACTACACATTCTGATTTGGTGGTACGTTGTCACGAGCAAGGTATAGAATGTCGTGTAATTCATAATGCTTCAATTATTAACGCTGTTGGATGCTGTGGACTTCAACTGTACCGATTCGGACAGGTGCTTTCCCTCTGTTTTTGGACTGAGACGTGGAGACCTGACTCATGGTATGAGAGGTTAAAGAGTAACAGGGAATCAGGTCTTCACACTCTACTTTTGCTTGATATTAAGGTTAAGGAGATATCAAATGAAAATCTGGCACGTGGACGAAAAATATATGAACCACCACGTTATATGAAGATCAAAGAGGCGATTGATCAGTTACTGGAGGTTGAGCGAAATAAGAAGGGTGGTGCTATAGCAGAAGATGGGAGTACTATGGCTGTTGGTGTAGCACGTGTGGGTACAAATACGCAGCAGGTTGTGGCTGGTACAATGCTTGAACTTCGAGAGGTTGATTTTGGTGAACCCCTTCACTCTCTTATCATCGCTGGTGACATCCATACCTGTGAGGCTGAGCACTTACAACTCTTTCGTTTAAGTTAAAGAACCACATAATAACCAGGATGTGTGCAAATCATTACAATTCTCTCTACTCACTGTTTCTTCCCACCACCTTTTACTTTTAACATCAATTACTGCATTAACATGTTATCCATTACTTCTTCTGGTATATTGTTTTTCTCTTTTTTACTTTATCTACAGGAAAAGAAGAAACAGAACGAAAAGTAAACACATACACCCACACATAGGTACAACGAGGGTCACAGGATACTTCTGTTCCTGTGAAGAGCAATGATGAAATGCTCCACACGTCCTCTGCTCTTTATGTCCCTTAGTGTGGTGAGACTCAACTTCTTTCCCCTTGGGATATATAGTGGGCCTATAAATGCTCATGTACTCTTACCGAGTAATAATTTAGACGGTCGTTCAACACTTAACATGAAGAAGATTGAGGGTCAGACTAAAGACCCACAGATGGTTCAGTCACGTGATGATCTTAAGTTGCGTTGTGAGAATTGCCGCTTTGAATGGATACATGATACCCTTTGCGTTCGTTGTCCTGCACAGCCTGCGCATAATCAGCGTGAGATGTGGCTACAACCAACTTGGATGTGGGGAAAACAGCAACCGTATCAGTACCACAAGTACTTACCAACAGTACGGAACCCTAGGACAGGTATGCTGCTGGCTCGTGAGGATGCGATGGGCATGAACAATGAAAGACGTGGTCAAGGGTTAACCACAAAAACACTCAACATTGAGAAGGAGAGACGAGGAATATCAAGAGCGGTAAGTAAGATTGGGACGTTCAGCACTCGCTGGAAAACACGTTTCCCGTTCCCTGTATAGCGATATTAAAATATTATCCTCTTTTATCTATTTTTAATTCTTTTTTCTTTTCATTCTGTACAAATATGTATTGTTATCTGTGTATTGTTCGTAAGTTGAGATGAACTTTCTTCCTTCTGTTAACTTGCAAAGTGATACTGTGAGGGGTGTGGCAACCACTGACAGCGTGAAAAATAAAGAAGTGAGGGGAAGACTGTTCTGTGGAGAATCATTACACACACATACACACACAGAGAGAGAGAGAGACAGACAGTCAGCAAACACATAGATCTATGAGTGCAGACCCTGAGGCACCTGTGGATGCCAATCGTCGCAGTGGAGGTCATGTTATTCGGAACATGATCTACCAGCACGATAATTCTCACAATCTTGAGATAGTAACAGGCTGGAAGGATCAAGGAACGCGAGAGTACAACCAACAGATTGTTCCTCCTACCAAGTTAGACTTGCCACGGACGCACCCGTGCCACCACCTAAATGCAGAGTTGCTGCGCTGTAGCCTTGATTGTCCGTCGGAGATGAAATTGGCAGGACGTATCGCCACATGCAATACGGAGCGGAAGTTACTGATGGTATGCTTCACAAGGAATAAGGACTGGAAGGAGGAGGCTCCTTCACAATGGTACAAATTTTGGTGAAGAAAACATGATGGATAGTATTTCATAATTGGGTAAACTGACATTAAAGAAGAACTGTACCAGATAACAAAAATTGTTTTGTATACTCTATTTTATCTTATTTACATTATTTTTAACTCTTTTTAAACCTCATAGGACTTGTACAACTTGGCTGCACAAGCTGTAGATAACAAAATAAGGGACTGAATAGTGGAAAGAAAGAAAGAATCGTTATAAAAAGAAGGATAAAAGCAAAATGCTTCGTCGTACGAGCCCTGCTGTGAGTTTCACGACGTCTCATCGTGCTCTCATGCTACGGGTAAACCGTCCACTTCTTGGTGGTGATATGCACTCAACAGAACGCTTCAAGGCGGCATGGGATGAGACACCTATTCATCTTCTTGGAGCCTCGCGTAAGCAGATGTTTGAGTGGCACTGGAGGTGTATGTACCAACTTGGCCTGCGTGACACGACCCGTATGACGAAGTTACGTGTGGCTATTAACTGGGGTGGACTGTTCTCGTTTCTGTATCTGACATACATCTCTGTGTTTTACTCATCATTCTATCATGTGTACTACCAGGACTGGCCCGAACGTTTCAAGAGAGAAAATGCTCGCGCCTACGCCCAATCAAGGGGTACTGATGTATGGGCTGCAGATGGCAAGTTCATCCGTCCCTACTTCCATATTAACCCACCTATGCTTACTATGACGAGCGAAGACTTGTAGAAAGGATATATACTAGTAAACTGGATATATAGTGATGGATCCAGACAGCCGAATCGGGTTGGTAGAATGGGATAAAAAGAAAAAGAAAGTAAGTACAGAGGTAAAGGTAAAAAAAAAGAACGATGTACTAGTTGTTAGTATTAGTGATCCATTATTTGTTTTCCATTACTTTATTTCGTTCTTTTGTTTGCTTTTTTCTGTTAGGCATATTATTGGCAACGAACAGCTTCTTGTTTATCTGCTGCACATTACTCCAGCTTCACCCTGGTAGCAACTCTTTGAAAGCAGATAAATGAGATATATTGGAGAATGAGAAGAGAGAAGGAAGAAAAGCCTTTTCATTCTTGTTATTCAGTTAAGCAATGATATATTGCAAGATAAACAGAGAATCAATAGTATGCTTCTTGCCTTTTTTTTTCTTTGGGAAGAATAGGAAAATATAGTATTACTTTTTCAGTGGGAATGCATTATTCTGCGTTTTTGTCTCTTTAGATCTGTATATGTGAATATCTCTCTTTATGTTGAGGAGAACTATATTGAACTTATCTTTTCTTTTTCTCCTTAAGGGACGTTGGTGAGGTACGGTAACTACGAAAGGAAATTTAACATAGTGAATAAAGGAAGGAAGGTAAATACAACTATAATTCTTATGTTTACAGTGAGGTGTGAGCTTGCTTCTCTGTGGCATCCTACAGTGCACCATAGTTTACTTCTGCTCCGTGCCTTAAAGCAACGTCATACACTTTTGATAGATGAATCTCCTGCGGCTAATACTACCCATCCACATGAGTTGTGGCAGCGTTTGCAGTACAATAGTCGCTTCTCTATTACCCCTCCTAACAGCAGTACTGTTACCAGCAGCAACGGCAACAGAAGTGATGTGAAAACTGGTGCTTCTATCGAAGCGAAGGGAGAAGACTTGACAGATACGTCCTTGCTCATCCCTAGGGGAGGACTAGAATGTGTGCGCGACCCGCAGCATATTCCATACTTCTTTTCTCTCTCTTCCTCGTTGCTACAAGATCAACTTCAAGCATATTTGGATGCGGATTTCGTTTCTAAACAGATTCTGCAAGGTGCAGACGACGTTCTTTTAGCTTTAAACACTGGCGAGATGGAATTAACACGACAAACCCATGGTAACTTAATGGACCTTGTGGCCCGTCTTGATTCTTCTCTCCAGAGTGACGACAGTGATAATGCTATTGGTGCTGATGGAGTAGTACAAGAGAGAGATAAATGGAGTACTTGGCCTCTATTCACGACACTTCAGTTCCTTGTGGAAGAGGGTGGGTTGTTGTTGGGACCATTCCCTCAAGTGACAAAGGCGTATCAACGTCTGCGAGAGTCCAAACCTGTACTGGCACACAAACGACTTATTACCCGCACACTGGAGCAAACTGCAAACTCACAGGGAATTCCTGCAGCAGAGCCACCTGTATGGGTTCACCGAAGTTTTCTTCGTGAGGTACAGCATCGGCTTGCCAACTACACAGGTGACCCTGCTGAACGTATGATAAATGGCGTTTCGGGTGAGAAGGGACCTTTGCGGGAACGGGTGAGTGGTGCTCGCTTTGGGCTGCAACCCGTCTCTGCCCGCACACCATGGACGATGCAGCGAGATTCGATGAGAAAACCATCACGCTGACGTACACTCGGTTTTCTCTTGCTTCTTCTCTCTTTCTCTCTCTCTGTGTGTGTGTGTATGTGTTTGTGGAAAATATTCTCATTACTGAGATGGATCGTTTATTTCTTTCTTCTTCACATAAATCATGATTCTTTTTTTTATTCCTTTTCGTTGTATCCCTTTTCTGTTTATGAGTCTTCTTGTGCGCTGCTTCAAAAAGAAAAAAAAAAAGATACACAATATTTTCCCTTCCCTTTCTTTCTTTTTTTTTTTGTTCTCTTAAAAGCTCGAGGGAGTCACCCCTTCTGTAGTGAGGTGTATAGAGTGATGAGCCGCAACGGTGAACTTTGTCTTAAGAAAGTGATTATTTCGTATTGTCCCAGCAGGGGATCACCCAATACACGTCAGTTCCTCGCTACACACTTACCACGTTTTCACGCAAAATACCCAAGTGTAACGATCGACATTCGCCCACGTTTATGGGCAGAGACAAGCGTTACTGGTGTCTACCGCGATGGTAGCGAGCGTGCATGTAAGACTAAGTATATGAGCCCAATGGGTATTTGGCTACGTCTTCATCATCTCGTGAATACAGCCAATGACTATGATCAGCCGTTCTCGGCTTCACACTTACATTTTCAGCGGCGCTCAGTGCAAGGCACATGGAACCCGTGGTTGTGGCACTATGAGACAGAGCGTCAACGCACAGAAGCTCCACAGTGGCGTCGCAAACTCTCTGAAGAGGAATGGGACTACTATGTTGGACAGTACAGCGCACAGATGAAACAGGAGGAAGAGGTTATCCACCAGCGTGTGGCAGCACGCACAGAGATTCCTGCAGAGAGTACCAAAGAAGTACAAGAACGATGGAAACAGCATGTGGTACCACGAATGCAAACAGATATGGAATTTAATTTGGCACACTTCAAGCGGCAGCACGCGAGAGGGCAGCGGGTACAACCAGTAACGATGGGTGAGTACAAACTCTTCTCCGTGCCCGATCACCGTGAGCTTGGTCAAGATGCAGTAGATATGATGCGACGGCGAGAGGCGAAACATATGGAAGAATGGTGGCGTAAGCGGAAAGAGCAACTAAAACCGCCCAAGTGAGGATGATGATAATATTTGGTGATATTTGTTAGGGGAAACAATGAATAAAACGCGAAGGAGAAACGGAAAACAGGAAGAAGAAAGGACACGTTTGGGTGGTATTGCTGGTGAGTGAATCTGTTTGAGGAGTCTGTTTGGAGTGAGAGTTGGGAGAACACATGTGCAACAATTGATTGTACATGCGCTTCAGTTCCATCTACTGAGTTGTATTTATTCAGAAACTGAAACTATTAGATTATCCTCTCGGATGAATGGTTCAACTAAAGCTAGAAGAGTTTGAGGCGCACACACTTCAGCCTGTTACTGATTAAATCTGTTTTTTTTTTTTCTGTTTTTTATTTTTTATTTTTTTGCTCTTTTACAAGTTCCATTTTTATTACTTAGTTCATTACTTTCAAGATGAAAAAAAATGTACCACCAAGCATATGAGGAATGATACACATTTTCTTCCTTTCGATGTTGTTTCTTCTGTGCAGGCAACCGTTTCTCTTTCTTTTTCATTTTCTACTCAGTATTGTTTTTTTTTTCTCTGCATGAATTCAATTGTTTCCACAATTGAGTAATGATTGCATTGTACCATTGGAGAGGATAATGAAAAAATAGGTGGCAAACGAGTGGACTGGTGTGTGGAATTTCTTATGATGAATCTCTATTTCTCTGAAAGCATCTGTAATTCCTATCCCAAGTACAAATTTGGAACCACCCATGATTTACTGAAGGCGCTGATGATGGGATTACAATAATGGAGAAAATGAGCAAAACGAAGAGGATAAAAAAAAAAAAATGGCATTTCGCTAATTGTTACATAGTAATCATTTTTTTTTTTATGTGAGGGACAATGAGGAGTAATTGCAGAACAGCAGATTACTGCAGAAGAGGGATACGTTAACACCAGTAGAGAGTGAATTATGGAATTAGTTGGCTCATCAGTTCAGTTACACATATCCTACAAATGTTTTTCCTGACAAAGAAGAACGTTGAAAAGATCATTTTTAGCTCATACAAATGCTTAAGTTTCACACAGTTCTTGCGATAGTTGTTATTTTTATTTTTATCCTCCCTCTCTCTCTGTGTGTGTGTGTGTGAAGACGTAGTCAAAATGTTGAACTGATACACCGTTGGTGAAGTTTAGGTTAAGATATATCCTTCATTCTTAAAGAGATTTTATCGTGAGAGAGGAAAAACTTCTAAAGTCATTATTCAACTCAGGTTTTAATCACGAATGTGAGACCCCTAATGATTTCAATTTTGTGATGGTATTTGTATTCATTTTGGTTTATCTGGAGACAGTTAAGGAATAATTTCCCCACACGAGTGGGTACATCTGTGGTAATAATCAATCTCTCTTACTTAGTTGCTTTAGTACTTTTGAAGTGAGAAGAAGACAAAAGGCAACGGAAGTATTGCTGATAGCTGAGAAGAAGTTATGTTACATATGATGTTTAATGAGAATATATATATCCTTTCTCTCTTTTTTTTTCTAGTTTTCTTTCCTTAATTCTTTTATTTTTCTCCTTTTTTTTCCCTTTATTTTTTTTTCTATAAGATAAAGAGGAGGGGAAAAAGTAGTACTTCTTCTGAGGCTTGGTTTTAGAGTGAAGTACAACGGAAGGAGGGAGATTAGGGAGGTGGGTGTCTTCCTGACATCCATATCCACATCCACATATACATCAAATACGTGGGTAAATACACCTATAAACAAATACGTAGTATTAAAGGATCAATGAATGGAGGGGAAAGAGACGCAGGTCCATTAAACTCGGAGAGTCATGACAATATCAGTGATTTGTCAACTCCAAGACTACCACCTGTAGCCCCAACAACTGGCTCATCCACATTGACAACGGGTGTCGTTCAATTAATACCTGTTTATGGATATCAACGCAACAGTAGTCAAAAACAATATAATTCAAATAAGAGAGGTAGTTTTTCGGCACGGTCATTTGCATCTTGTACGAGCTCTTTGAGTACTACTTTGCGTAGCAGTGCTTTTGGTACTCTCTCAAATATGATTGGTGCGGTATTTGATGTAACAGAACGTATGATCATTCCATATGGTCGACTGCGTTTGCTAGAAGACGAGTTTCTTGGAAAAGGTGCATTTGGGGAAGTAGTGCTTGGGGAATTGTACCCGGCACCGAGTATTACACGAGTACGCACACCCATTATATCAGTGGCTTTAAAAAATTTTCCATTATCACCCAGCGTTACGAGTCAGGTGTGTGAGGGTGCCACGGCTCGTGGGGAATCTTTTAATGAGGATAGAAGTTTCTCCAGATGGAATAGTAGATTTCCAGGTGAAGAAAGGAGAGATATGGGGAAAGCTACCAATGGTTCTTCTCTCTATTCTACAGATAAGAGAAAAATGGTAAATGAAAATCATCATAGAAGTTACTCAGCAGAGTATATTACGCTATCATTGCCCCACTCAACACCACGGGCACATAAGAAGCAGCAGCAGCAGCCTGTGATGGAGATATTGAGTTCCAGGTCCACATTAGATGATGATATGCTCGCTGCAACTACAGGTAGTTTACCAGATCTAGGAGTTCCACTCTTCTTAAATGGAGGTGAGGGGAATATGGGAACGCAGACATGGAGTGGCTCCAGATCTTCTTCCTCTTCCTCTTCTTCTTCTTCTTCTTGTTCTTCTACAGAAGAGACACCTAAAATTGTGGCAGTGAAGAGAATTGATAAGGCGCGTCTCTCACGGCGACAAAGGTTTATCACATCATTTAAAACAGAACTACAACTCGCTAGTGAACTATCTCATCCTTCCATTATTAAAACGTATGGTGTGTTAGAGGAGGAGTCAGAGTTGCTTCTAGTGATGGAGTTTGCTGAGGGAAAAACGCTCCAGGATTATCTTAACACGGAAGGTCATGAACATATGGTAACGAAAGCCCCACATTTCCTCGCAGATGTTGTATTAGGATTGGAATACTTGCATGCGGCTGGTATTGCACATCGGGATATTAAACCATGCAATATGTTACTCACAGCTGATCATCATATAAAGCTTGCGGATTTTGGCTCCGCATGTTATCTTAACGATGATGCAGGAAATACATTTGCTGGGACTGCTGCGTATATGTCACCAGAGATGGTAGAATCCGGAAAAGCAAGTGCAACAAGTGATCTTTGGGCACTTGGTTGTGTCCTATTTCAACTGTTTGTTGGTAGACCACCATTTCAAGGTGAGAACCGCATGTTTGTTCTGCGTAAAATAAAAGCCTTTCACAATGGTGATGTAGATTGTCCACCGTACTTTCCATCAGAGGCGAGGGATCTCGTCTTGCGACTACTGCAACGCACACCGAGTGATAGACTCGGCTCTGATGAAACGGGTGGGTTTGCTGCTCTCAAGTCACACCCTTTTTTTGCAGATATTGACTGGAGTCAAGTACACCAAACATCCATTACAGCACTACAGACAACAGACTCTTCATTACAGGTGAGTGATCTACTTCAAGAAGGTGAAAAGGTTTTACGTTGTACAGTAGTATTGAAGAAGAATAATAGTTTTTTAAATAGGTTACCACGAGAACGTCTACTTGTTCTGACAGATCTTCCACGACTCTTATGTGTAGATAAGGAAAAACACATTGTTAAGTACTCAATTCCAGTAACGCGAGAGGTACATGCTGAGGTTGAGACAGTGGAGATGTTTTCCGTCGTGACAAAAGGGCAAAGATATGAATACGTTGACCCAAGTAAACACGCGGATGTATGGGGAATGCGCATTAATGATCTTGTCAAACGTCGCCAGAGTATTGATAGCTGCGAAGCCATGTTATGTAACCCAAAGAAAACCACACCCACCGATATTACCAAGGGGAATATGAAATAAGGATGACACCATTATGGATGATGTGAATATAAATCTTCTACGGCAAATCTAAAAGGTATCGAATATTTGTGTTTTTCTCTTGAGAAATGTGTGGGATGACGAATTGTGGTTGACGGTGTGGGGGTGTACTGCTGTGGGATAAATATTAGCAGCGGGATCATCAATGTGGATGATTAAACTTTGTAAATTTGAGGAACTTCTCGAACATCCTCTTATCTTATCTTAACTTTTTGTTTGTTGTTGTTTTGTTTCTCTGTGCTTTGTGATGTTGGTACAGACCTTACATTTGGAAGCAGCTCATTTCCTGTGAGATCACTGAATGAGTAGACTCTGAATTGTTGAGTACCACACACACTCCAGACAGACAGACACAGACAGACTGACACAGGCTGAGGGAAGAAGAGAAGATAAAGTTAGTTAATGGAAGAGTGCTAGTGAAGGGAATGTGGCTGAAGGGGAAAGAAAAAAGAAGATAAATAAGCAAAAAGGATTGAGTATGGGAAACCAAATAAAAAAAAAAAAAGCAAAGAAAACAACAGAGGCATGAAATGCAAAAAAAGAAAAAAAAAACGGAGGAAAATAAAATAAAATGCCCAAGTAATGTGTACATTGAGGGAATACTCGTTGATCATCATGTTTATAACAGTAGAAGTGATATACGAGATTCTTTCCAACATTTTTTTCTCTTATTGGTGATACTACTAGTACTACTGCAACTGTTGTTATTATTATTACTATTGGAGAGAAATTCACACATCCAATACAAATTCTCTTGTATTTACTTGTACAAACGCATGCACCCATACACACCTACCTTTATGTTCTCTGAAACTATTATACAGCATTCGCCTAAACTTTGAAAATAAAAGAAATAAAGCTGTCTGTAGTTGAATCCAATTTTTTTTTTTTTAACCCACTTCCCTATCACTACTGAACTACTTGCATACTCATTTATTCTTTATATCTACTCCCAGCACAAATATATGTGCAATCCATATCCCCTTCCCCACCCCCGAAAAAAAAGAATGATTTTCAGGCAAGAGAGAGAGAGAGAGAGAGAGAGTCATGGTTCCTATTATGCTTCAGCTATATATATATATATATATATATATTTATGTATATGTGAATTTTATTTCCCTCTCTGTATTTTCTTCTTGTTTCTTCTTTTTTCTTTCTTTATGTGTTGTGGGTTTACAGACTAATACAATAGTTCTTCATACTGGCAGTGACAACAGCAGCAGCAGCAACAACAACATCACCAGTAGAGTCGTCCGGTACTGCTATTTGGTAAGCCAAACCATCAATCGCCTTACTAGGTACAGTTACCACTGCCCTTGCTTTTTTTTCTTAAAACAAGAGGTCTCTGACTTCCTCAGTGAAAACAGTTAGGCAACGAAACCAAAGAAAGAAGGTGTATGCTGAAAGAAAAAAAACAAGAAGAATAGTAGTAGTACCTAGTAGTAAAAAGAAAAAAAAAGAAAAAAAAAAGAAAAAAAAAAGAAAAAAAAAGAAAAAAAAAAACAGTACCACGTAGAAACAAATGGGTGCTGCCCCTAGTGCCGAGATTATCAGTAAAGCTCCATTTCGTCCAACACGTAACTCCAGTGGTCGTGTGCTTTCTCTCATTCCCATAACACAGGAGTTTTTCCCATCATCCAATTCTCCACTTTTTGAACAGTTGTTTGATGCCCGGTGTGATGCTTACGTGCGATATTATATGCGTGATTATGATAAACATGATGCGGAGTGTACAGATGATGATAATGATAATGATGATGGTGATAGTGATAGTGATAGTGGTGGTAAAGGTAGTGGTAGTAGTGATGTGCAGTTGGACAGTATTCCACAAGCCCCATTTACCCGAGAGGAGTACTATGAATATTGGATGTCGTCTGTACAACGATGCCCGAGGTATAAAACAACGGAAGAGTTATGCCATGCTTACAATAAAGTAACAACAACAACAACAACAACAACAACAGTGAATGAGGGAAATTGTGGGATTTTCCCAATACCATGTGCGGTGGCATTTCAGTACGATGACTCCAGCAGTGCACCGGAGGGATGTGTAAAATTAGGTGATACGTTTGTGCGGGTTATTGGCGCCATTGGTTGTCTTCTACCAGCAACACATGATAAGAAGAAAAACAACAACAACAACGACAATGACAATAACAATAACAACAACAGTAGTAAGAAGGAGGTGAAACAACTGAAAATGTTATTGTTTCTGCGTAAGTCTGCAGGAGATCACAACATGGTACGTGTGACGTTGTTTGCGGCGTGGCTATTCTATGAACACTGCGTGCGTGTGTGTAAAATGGCACACACACCACTTCCTGCCATCACCTTCCGTGGGCTAAAGACAAATATTCCACTTCTCTGCTTTCTGCGGGAGATGCGAAGTCGTATTGATCTCCTGCAGGGAAATAGAGATGGTCATTGTGTCTGGTTGGATGGTGTGTTTCTCCGCGTCCACATTACAGGCGGACATGCACGTGAATTATGTAAGGCATTGGCAAAACACTACGATTTGCTGTTGGAATCGAAGCCACGCACGGCGGAGGTGAAATCGCTATCACTCTCTCTTGCGAACAACAACAACACCAACAACAACAATGACAACAATAATAATAACATCAGCAATGAGGGCAGTGTCAGCAACAACAACAACACCAATAATAATGATGTCAATGATATGGAGGATGGGAATGTGCCACTTCGCAGTCCGCACAGTTACCGGTCGGTGAAACAGAGCTTCGAGTTGGCTGGCTATATTGATAAACATAATACTGAAATACCGGCTATAGGCAGCAGTAGGGATGAAGTCTATCTCGTCTGTCTCAACACCACAGTGCTTGTGAAGAGTAACAGAGAGAGCGAGGAAGCCGAAATCATGATTCCTACAGTAGTCTACCACCAGAACAGTAACAGTAACAGTAACAATAACAACAACAACAATGACAATAATGACAAAACTGTTACTCCAATGAACTTCAATGAACTTCAAGTAAAGCGTGGTGATATACTGCGATTTGAGCCGAATGAACCAGATGAGTTATCACCACATCCACTCCCCTTTGATGGAAACAATACCTTCTCTCATCTCATCACTGAAAATCCCACTGGCAATTTCGCAGATACGCCTTGCACCACTACAACTAACAGCTTCAGCAGTAGGTGCAGCACCAACAACATCACAGACACTATCAGTGAGAACAAGGAAGTCTTTCGTAGTAGAGCGGGTACTTGGAAGGTGGACTCCACTGTACACGTGGAGAATGTATTGTTGGCACTTGTACATGATGAATGCAAGAATGCACGTGAGGCTCCTGCAGATGATCCACATTGGGTTCTTAATAAGGAAACAAAAGAACCTTTGTGCGATAGTAACTTTTATATTTGGCGTTTTGAGCGTAAGGGAATATTTTACTTCTACGGTACTGTGCCAAAATTTGCGAACTCCTTCAAAAAGCGCTCGGATAATACTCGAAAACAACGAGGTTTAACCTCTGCCTCTGCTACACCTATATCCACTTCTACAAGTGATGGGAAACAGAGCCTTCCAGGTTTTGTACTACAGGATAATAATATGCAGACAACTCCAAAGGGGGGTGTATCTCATCTTGTACCTGTTCTCACCGATCCAAATGAATTCAACCACACAAATGACTTTCCTTTACAAGCCATAAACCCTATACAAGATATTTCCACAAATAACCCATGTGTGAATCAACACCCAGGGGGATGTATACAATTCAGAGGTCCGGAAGTATGGAGTCATCTACATACAAGTAGTGTAGACTCACAGGCGGCATTAATATCTATGCGATCCAATACTTCTTTCACTACTTCCGTGGGTGGTGTGACAACTTCAACATCTACAGGGAATTCAATGGTTTGTGAACAGAACAATGCTGCTGCTGCTGCTGCTGTGGATTGCTCAATACTTCATGCGTTTCCTCCTCCACAAATGCAATGTTTTCGAATTGTACACCCGATGGAAACACCATTCATGTCGCCTGTGCAATGCATCGCATACATGCCGCCATCACAGCCACTACCAATCATACACCCACTGCAATCTATGCAATTACCAACACCAACACCATTATCACAACAACAGCCACAGCCACAAATACCGCATCCGGCCCCTCAACCTATATATGGTATTATGAACCCGTTATTGAGTTATCCAGTTGTACCACAGATACAGCCAGGCCTTTTCCATACGAATGGGCATTAGTGTCACAGAGAAGGTTTTTTACTTGCTTTGTTTTTCTGACTTTCTTAGTTTATTTATATATATATATCTCTTTTTGTCTTTGCAGTGGTAGTGGTGTTGCTCGTTTCATTTTTGCAAAAAAAAAAGAAATATGGGAAAAGAAATGAAAAAAAAAAAGATATATAGGTGGTGGATAGATAGATGTAGAAATCGAAATAGATGGGTGCGTGTGTGTGCTAAGAACAAATAAATAAGAAAAAAAAAAAGAGGAATAATGATGCTTGTGACGATAAAACCTCTGCAGAAATCTTAATTCCTTACAAAACTATTAGGGAATGGGGTTGATGCTACTTAGGAAGATCACCCCCCATCTATCCATATCTATTTATTTTATCATCTGTGTATCTTCTCTTTGTCTGTCTGTGTGCGTGTGTGTATATCTATATATATGTTGGTTGAAGAGGGATGTAAATGATTTCATTTTCCTATGGAGGGAGATGTGCTAGACGTACATCTCCCTTTTCCTTGTTGATTTACATAAATGAGAAGAGTAAGTAATACACCCAATAACCAAGTAAAATGCAATTTTTACTGGATAAAGGATCTAATCATAAATAAGGATGACAGAAAAGGAAAAAAAATAAAGAAAGCGAATGAAAACGAAAAAGGTGTATTCAAGCCTAGGATGTTTCTATTTTTGCAGAAAATGGAATACAAGGCAAGCGAAACATAGGGAACGAGAAGAGACTCAAAAAAGAAAAAAAACGAAAGGAGAAACTTGGCATTATATACATAGACATATATATATATATATATATATATATATATATATATATATACGTCTATGTATGTATATGAGTTTGAACAAATTGATTTTCCTCATGTCGAATTAGCATTGTATATGCAAGTAAAGGAAAAGGGTGTGTGAGATGAGATGTGTAACACTCTATTGGAGTCAAATAGAATGTATTCCCTTGATGTTTGTTCTGCTTTAATAGGTATAGAGGATCAATACCGGTTACCATAGTCTCTTATATTTCTCATAGTTACATTGTGAATGCATATGTTCTTTTTTTTTTTTTAATTTATAATTATTATCATTTTTATTATTTTGCGCTTGTTAGCAAGGCAGAGAAGATAAGCCAAACATGATTTGCTTTTTCTCTTTAATCTTTTTCTTCCTGTGTAATTCATACTTGGAAAAAAATAGACTGCGGTATCTGCCGGAGTGATCATATATATATAGGAAGAATGTTCGAAGGATAAACAAATAAAAAAGAAAAAAAAAGTTTTTTTTTTCCCGACAAAACGACAATCATGAAAGGAAAAGAGTGCTTGAAACTTTATGCTTTTTTTGTTTTTTTGCAGTTTTCATTTTTTTATAATTTCTTTTTTTTTGTTTTTTATGTTTGTTTTTTCGTCTTGCTGCTACCACATCAAGGAGCATTTATATATATACTTTCTATATTTCTAATATTGCTTAATAATCTCTCTGTTTTTGCTTTCTTTT